TTTTACTTAGATTAGAAGGTTTCTTGAAATATATAAATTTCAGTCTTCTTTCTCTAATACAAATTGACTTTCTATTTTCTTGATAACTTGATTGGGGGGTGCTCCTGCTTCAGAAAGTTATTGGCTTGTTTTGGATGATGTTGCTAGCTACTTCTCTAACGCCCAATCTACCAATTTATTACCATGGTTGAACTTAGAGCCGAAACCGACCCAACCCGAATCAAACTGATCAGGTCGGTTTTGCTTAATACAGGGTCGGTTTTGGTTTCAATTTTAGGTAACCCAACTAGGTCAGATTGATTGAAAAAATCTCAGTAAACCGATCCAACCCGACCCATGAACAGCCCTAAAAAACATAATTAAATGCATTTAGTTGGATAAATAAGTTACCAAAAAACAAACTGGACTAAGAATCAAACTCACCAGGCCAACTCTTGGGTATTTGATGCTGCAGATACTAACACTTGGTGAACTGCTTGGTTAAATTGTTCAACCTGCACCCTAACCAGCTTTTTGGTTCATTACCGGGCAGTTGGTCTAACATGCGCCATGTGAGCCATGAGACAGCTAGAGGTTGTCATTTGTTCTTTAATTGTGACTTGAGAGACTCGTAGGCCATGTACACTACGTACTGATATGGAACTGGCAAGAAGTATACAACTGGCATATCATTTTCTTCACTCTTTTGACTGATAGATGGGGTTGGTCTAATTTGCGCATTTGGGCATGAGTCTAACTCGAGGCTGGCAGTTGAATATCACTATTCGTTAGTACCAGCTGTTCTGAAATTATATGATAATCACCTCTGTCAATTTTGCCCCTCTCCCCCCTCTCACTACAACACTGTTTATCTTTATCTCTGTATCACAGGGCTTGTTTGAGGATTTTTGGTTTGTAATAGTGATAAAAACGTGCTCAATATATATCTCATCAATTACTATTCAATGCGGAGTAACTAAGGTGGTGTTTGGTACCTAAATCGTTTCTCTAAAGCATTTTTGTCATGTCACCATTTTGTATGCGTTTTGCTATCTTCTTCACTTTTTCTTGCTTGGTTGAATGTGTTTAAGCCATTTGAGACAACAATGAGAATGTCTTGATTCTGCCAAAGCAACTCTTGGAGAAAGTATCACTTTGGCATTTCTTGTAATGGAAATAAAGTTTTCATCTTTTTGATATTAAATAACAATATAAAATATGCACAGACCCCAAAGTTAATTCCAAGGCATGACTGTTATATGAGAAACGTCAATATATGATACCAAACATCACCTAAAATGTTATGAATAATAAATTATTGTGTTAAATTAGGTCTTATGGTCCAATATTTAATGGTTTTTGGAAATACCAATATGTGGTAAGGTGGAAAAACAAGGGTTTTGAAAAAAAAATCTCACCTAACCCACCATATATCAGTCTGTATTGATTCATTTTCATTAATGCTTAATTGTAATAAATCAATGCAATTGTTACTAGGGTGGTGTTAACAGTATTCAAAAATCTGATTTTGAATTCAGGATTCAACGTAATCAAATCGAATTCGAATAATTCGAATATATAACTAGTCAAATTTGGATATCCTATTCATACTGAATAGTTAATTGGATTCGAATTCGGATATAAATATCCAAATTCGACCGATTATTTAATTCTTATATATAATATATAAAATTTTTAAATATTTTATATAATTTATATATAATAATTAAATTATATAAATAATTTATTTATTTATATACTTTATATAAATAAAATATTTTTTATATATTTATTAATTATTTAAAATAATTAATTAATCACATTCAAATCGAATACTTGAATATTTAATTAAATTCAAATTCAAATATTAATTTTCAATATTATTAGACATCGAATTAAATTTGGATATTCCCTGATCCGATTCAAATTCCATTTACACCCCTAATTGCTACAAATCACCCTAAACACATGTTGGACCCATTCTCGACTATTACAGGTTTATACTCAATCATCATCAATTGTTACAAATCATTACACGTCCATAATCAATTACTACATATCATACTCAATTATTACAAATCCATACTCAACCATGAGAAAACTTTTGCTGTTGGGGGCCGACCCAACAGCTTATGCTGTTCAGAACGTTATTGGCTAGACACGTTAACCCATTCATGCCCATGTCTAACTTTTTATTCAAAAGAAAATAAGGGCAATTATTCTTTTACCCCACTCTCATAGTAAAGTGTGCATTCCCAAGAATGTTTTCAACAGCATAAGTTATTAACCCCCAACAGCCAAAATTTTTCCCTCAACCATTACATATTAATATTAATATTGTTATAAACCAACATGTACCTACCTATTTTAAATTTGAATTAACTCAAGCAAGGTTTTTGAAACCGATTTGAAGAACGAACCGGTTAAGAGTTTGGTTTCCAGGTTGAATTATTGACCCGTTCTGACAAAAAAATAAAAAATGGTTAAAATTGTTGAACAGTTCGAATGGTTCAACCACCTGGATCATTTTACTGACCAAATCAACATTTTTTTTTTGCAAATATCCGATTTTGAAGAAAAACGGAACTGGTCACCGGTTTTTTCCAGTCTGGTTTTGAAAACCATGAGCTCAAGTCAAATCATAAATATCTCTGTATATAAAAGAGAGTGGTCAAGGGTATATATATATATATATATATATAAGTATAATTAATATTATCATGTATATTATATAATTATGCAAATATGATGTCACAGGTTCACCAGTTTGATTAAACTGGTTGAACCAATGACTTATGACCTGGACTCCTGGAGGGAAAAAACGGTTCCAACTCCGGTCAAGTTCTCTGAACACTGATTAGGACTCAAACATAGGCCATCGAAATAAAAAGAGGAAGATTCTTCCACTAAGCTTACAATATTGCAATTTGTCGAAATGACATGTGATTCAAGTTTTAACTTTCCAAGTCATTTTATCAACTTTTTTCTTATTAATAATATATCAATTATAAAATAAAAAAACTAATTCATTATTTAAATTAATGATTTTCTCAATTTAAATCATAATTTAATTTTTTTTTTATCATTTTCTATTACTGCGTCATCTGTATATGTGTCTATTACTGAGTCACAATTTAATTTTATTTAATACTCATTGCGATAAACCAAAGAGAGATGAGACATGTGAGGATATCTACTCTAGTAATGGGGTGCCAATGAAGAGGGCACGGAGGAAAGTGGGCTGGACCGAATAGTGAGTCCAATTAGCTAGGTCTCCAATAGGCAAGAGGAGTGTTTGGATGTATGTGAATCAGTGAATGGGCATATCCTAGGTGATGTGGCAGGACCCAGCCATCCGTGGAGCCGGCCTAATTGGGATAAATATAGCTTTGATGGGAAAAGGATATCCCATGACTTTGTATGGGGTGTGTGTATGAGTGTGTCCGTGCAATGCTTTGCTTCCCTTCCATTAATTTTCTTATCCCATCCTTTTTCTTCCTTTCATTGTTATCCCTTTTTCATTAAGGCTGTTTTTGGTTGATGGCAGTGCAAATGTTTTGAGTGTAAATTTTGATATATTTTTGTTTTAAAATTTAGTTTTTTTTTGTTTGATTGCAATACAAATAAAGTAAATTAAGACATAAATTGAAACAAAATAAAGTAAAATTCAAAATAAAATTAAACAAGAATTTGCATTTTTTATATTTGCACTCCCATGCATTTATAACCAAACACAGCCTAATATTTGAAATGAAATAACCAAAATGTCATTGGACTGGCTAATGTAGAAGTAGTAGGACTGGAAAGTAGAAACAGCCAACGCTTATGCCCATCTAACTAAAGACCCATTAGCCCTGTGCTCTACATGTCCAATTCTGTTGTCCTTGTGACGGAAAGGGTGTTATCTAACTTGACCAGTTTCATTCTGCTGTGCTGGGGTAGGTGTCACCTCCACCAAAAATATATAATAGATGAATGAGACAAAAGCATTTGATTTTAAGATCACTTTTCCTCTCTTGTCTACACCGTAGATGGTGATAAAAAGGAAACGGGGGAGTACAATAGCTAGACTTAGACTACACACACTTGCACAGACATGAAATGGGACTATGGGAGAAGTTAATGCAAATCCTACTACTATGACTATCCCATGATGAGAATTAGAGGCTTGCTTTCTACAATACAATCGTGAAAGGCTAACTGAACTCATATCTCTAATGCTTAAAAGTTTTCAGCGCCCATTGCCCATTGATGCCCTTTTGATTTTGGTTAATGAGAGACATAATCAGTCCTTCAATCAGTAAACAAAGGGGATGCTGGGATGGTAATATTTAGGCAAGCTCACTCCCATTAGTATTTCCTTCGATGCGAATCTGATCTCATCAACAGCGTGTGGAAAAGGGGTAAGCGTGTAATATGGAGAAAAGAGGGGGAATTGAATTCAACAAAAATACTTTTCCTTGAGAGGTGAAGACTTTCTATCCATTCTTTTTTTTCGAGAGACAGAAACCGAAACAAAAAGAAAACCAAGAAAAAGCAGTGCATGTGGGTGGATGCGTTGGCCCCTCCCTTCCACTCTCCCCACACCCCAGCACTGATGGGTGATGGCGATGCTGATGTTACATAAACAAAACACCCAACTCTCTCTCCTTTCACCGTTTTCTTTTCTAATGGTCTTTCTCTCCCTCTCCCTCTCCCTCTCCCCTATGTTTCTTTTGCTTTGCTTTTACCGAAAGTTGCCACTTATTACACACCCGATATAATATTTCCCAATTATATATTTTTAATTAACACCATTTACTTTCGTGCCGGGATTTGAGTAGAAAGTCTGATTCCGTCAGGGCTCAGTGCATTTGCTTCTTTTCGTGCTGGAAACTAGAAAGTGAAAAACAAGACAAGTTTATGACACAAGGAAATTAATTGAGACAAAAAAATAATAAAGAAATCAATAGGCAGGAAGCATAAACAAAAGACTGCTTTTGGTATTGTACTTATACTTAGTAGAGAAAATGCGATTTCTGTTCTTTTTTCTTAACCACCTGGGGCTGGAAGGAGTGTGAAGAAGTAAGGAGGTAGCGTCACAACTCTGGATCATGGATATTTGTAATTTTGTATGGTTCCCTGGAATAGGAATAAAGCTGATCCGTAATTTTGATTGGTCACCTCAGCTCAACATGATGAAGATAGTCCGAAATCATCATCACTCTATCAAAGTAAAAAAGGAGAAACATTTCACACGTGCAAGCCCAAGTTCAGGTTTGTGGCTGTGAGTAAAAGGGGTTAAACAACAAATTAACAGAGAGAGAGAGAGGGAGTATAATATCTTTGATTTGATTTGGTTTGAGTTCTCTCTTCTCTTCTCTTCTCTTTTCTGCGTCTGAAGGAACTGCACGATTCGGGCGCCAGCGGTGAGTCAGTGGCAGAAACGCCAGCAACGCCACCGATATGGGATGCACGGCGTCTAAGCTAGACAACGAGGATACAGTGAGGAGGTGCAAGGAGCGTCGTCGCCTCATGAAGGAAGCCGTCTATGCGCGTCACCACCTCGCTGCCGCTCATTCCGACTATCTTCGCTCTCTCCGCCTTACCGGCTCTGCCCTCGTTGAATTTGCTGCCGGAGAACCCCTCTCAGTATCCGAACAGACCCCTTCCGTTCTCCTTCGCAATCCTTCCTCGCTGTCTTACCGTGCACCGCCACCACCACCTCCGCATTTACGACCCCCATCTCAATCTCCTCAGCCAACACCTCTACAACCTGCTTTTCCTCCTCCCTCCCCAACTATTGCAAGTTCAAAGCTCCCTCACATCCTTTCTGAATCCAGCCCTTCCTCTACTCCCCGCCAAAAGCCTGCCGGAAAATATAATTACCCGCCTAATTTCCCCGGAAATTCTACTTACTCCAGCACTCCTTCTCAAGCCTCATCCGTCTGGAATTGGGAGAGCTTTTACCCTCCCTCCCCGCCTGGCTCTGACTTTTTCCGGCGACCCAAAGACGATGACCAACATTCTGACCACAGCCACGACCACTTCTCTGACCACGACCACGACCGAGACCAAGACCAACATCATCACCTAGACCTCGACGACGAAGGAACCGACAGAGAAGAAGTGCATTGCAGCGAATGGGGCGATCATTACAGCACTTCGAGCTCCGACACGAAATCCGAAAACAACGACGACGAAAGAGACCGAGACTCGAGATCAGAGATCGATTCTAGATCGAATTTTGGATCTTCAATTCACAACGAAACCACGGCGAAGCCGAGTTACGCTCCAACGGGGAAACCAGAGAAATCCGATGACGCAGGATCTTCTGTTAGTTGGAATGCGGGAACCGCCGAGATTCAAGGCATGCAGATGGTTGTTAAGCATCGGGATCTATCGGAGATCGTGGCAGCGATCAGGGAGTACTTCGATAAGGCTGCAGAAGCTGGCGAAACGGTCTCCGAGCTGCTTGAGAGCGGTCGGGCTCAGCTCGATCGCAGTTTCAGACAATTGAAGAGTAAGGGTTCTCGAATTCAATTTGATTAAAACATGCTTGCTAGGGTTTCGAATTTGGTCTTAATCTCAAGAATTTTCCCTAAAACTATTACTTCGTTTGCCTTATTTTTGGGGGCTGGGGTTTGATTTTGCAGAGACTGTGTATCACTCGAGCAGTGTATTGAGTAACCTGAGCTCAAGCTGGACTTCGAAGCCACCGTTGGCGATAAAATACCGGCTGGACACCGGTTCACTGGTTGAACCGGGCGGTCCGAAGAGTCATTGCTCGACGATGGAGCGGCTGTTGGCTTGGGAGAAGAAGCTCTACGAAGAAGTGAAGGTGATATTTTCTCTTTCTTTCTGCCATTTTCTCTCTTCGAAATTCGAATTCCAGTGTTTAGTGGGGAGACCAAAATATCCTCGATATTTACGAAAATGACTACGATATCCTCGACATTTGCGTGAGTCCACCGCAAAGGCGGAAAGCCAATGCCTACACATACACTACAAGTCTACAAGACTTAAAACAAAATGACATCAAAGCCAATGCCTACACATACACTACAAGTCTACAAGACTAAAATGCCCCTGGTAGACGTCCAGTATTTCTGTATTGACCTGAAGTTCGTTGTGCACTTGTGCCACACTTGAATTTGGTTGAGTATGAAACGCCATTTAAAGGATAATCCTTGGATTCTATGCTAATCTACGCCGGGTGCGGAATGTGTTAACAGGCCAGAGAGGGCGTCAAGATCGAGCATGAGAAGAAGTTAGCCTCGTTACAGAGTCAGGAGTACAGGGGGGAGGATGAAGCGAAGCTGGACAAGACCAAGGCATCTATAAAGAGGCTGCAATCACTAATCATGGTCACTTCGCAAGCTGTTTCCACCACTTCTTCTGCCATCACTAATCTCAGAGATACGGAGCTTGCCCCGCAGCTTGTCGAACTCTGTCATGGGTACCGCTCTATTCTCTTCTTTTTTTTTTCCTTTTTTTTTATTATTTGAGGAATATTTTTCATGGGTAGATAACAACGGAAATATCATCTGTCATTTGCAATTTGGCTCATGTTTACCGATTTCTGCATCATCCATCTAAATGGACAAAATGAATTTTGTGGTGGAGTGGTTTTGTCTAGTCAATTAAAACAGTAATGCCTAGACCGGGATGCACTTATAAGATGGTTAACTTCTGAAATTCCTAGAGATGTTCCAGTGATCCAAAACTTAGGATCAAGTTTGTGCAATGAGAACATGCATAGTTTGCATTACATAGATTGATTGTGTATTCAAAATTTCTTCCTGTCACCTGTTTTCTTAATTTTCCCTAACCTATCTCTTTCTGCAAATTATTTTTGTTCTTAACTCATGAGTTTGCCAGCTTGGGCTGGTGCATAATGGACAATTTTCTTAGGCAAGTTAATAGATGTTTTATTTTCTTTTTAGGTGGAGAATGTTTTATCTTGTCTAAATCCAAAACTTGCTTTCTTCTTCTTCTCCTTATTCAATGAGTGGTTGGTTCATTCATTCATTTATTTTCAGGTCTGCATGTATGCCTGTGTATCAGAGCATGGACTCCAATTCCTAACCCACATTACTGTACCCCATGTTTGTTTGTGTGGATATGCACCCCTGATCCTCATCTTGTGACATGCATTGCATACTGGAAAATTAAACTTGAAAATTTAGAACACGAGCCTGGTATGTTTTAGCTAATGCACCCTTGGAAGTTGAAACCCACAAGACTATTCTAGATGGTTCTTTATATGTCTCAAAATTGGGTCTTTATGTTAACAAATAGTTTCCTGATTCAACAAACTGCCCTGCTGAGGTTGCTCGTAGTGGACTGCCAAACCTTTCCTGTTTAGGCATGTAGATTTTAGACTGATCCAACTAAGTATGGAACATAGACCTGATTAACCTTTTGAAAATTAGTTAGAGCTAGGAGAATAATCGGAGTGGAGGTTGGGAAATATGTTAGAATACATGAGCTCAGACACATGCAACCAGCCTATCCTTTGTCTGGTTTCTTTGCTTTTCTCTGTATGAGACAATGATTGTAGACCCTAAATTGATGACTCTTTGTGTGTTCGTTGCATTCATCATATTTTTCCCATTAATATATCTGGGTCATAATTACACGCTTTAAGGAGACTCCTGGAATTCTGGCAAGTAAGCCCACTTTTAAATTTGCATTGCATCCATTTTCTGTCATGTAAGCCATTTGTGTGTATGCTTTTGTATGTCATATAGGTTAATGTACATGTGGAGATCTATGAACCAGTTCCATGAGGTCCAGAGCCACATTGTGCAACAAGTACGAGGCCTTGTGAACCTATCCACCAAGGGAGAATCAACTTCTGAACTCCACCGGCAGGCAACTCGCCACCTTGAGTCAGCTGTCTCTGCTTGGCACTCCAATTTCTGCCGCCTAATAAAATATCAGCGGGACTATATCCGATCTCTCCATGGATGGCTCAAACTCTCTCTGATTCATGTTGGCAATGACAGCACCACTGGCAGCAAAGGTGCATCTACTGCTGCCCAAACCTACACCACTGGCAGCAAAGATGCATCTGTTGCTGTCCAAACCTCCTCTGATCTCCTTCCCTTGTGCGATGAGTGGAAATTGGCCCTTGACCGACTCCCAGACACTGTAGCATCGGAAGCCATCAAGAGCTTTGTTAATGTCGTTCATGTCATTGCTGTGAAGCAAACTGAGGAGATCAAGAGCAAGAAATGGGCAGAGACTGCCTCAAAAGAGCTTGAAAAGAAGGCTTCGGCACTCCGCAATATTGAGAAAAAGTTCTACCATTCATACTCGATGGTTGGTATTGGGCCTCCAGATGGTGGAGCAGCCGATGGGCAGGTTTTGGATGCACGAGACCCCCTTGCTGAAAAGAAGTTGGAGCTTGCATCCTGCCAGAGGCGGGTGGAGGATGAGATGATGAAGCATGCCAAGGCAGTTGAGGTTACAAGGGCAATGACATTGAATAATATACAAACAGGGTTGCCAGGAGTATTCCAGGCAATGACTGCCTTCTCAGGGCTGTTCACAGAGGCTCTGGAGGGGGTTTGTACACGTCCCTATGCTATTAAATAATTAAACAATTCGGTATTCCTTTTTTGAGGTAAATTAGAATTATCAAAGGCTGGATTTTTTTTTTTTTTTCTGGGAAAACATTGTCTTCTTTTCCCTCTTTTATTTCTTCTGTAGATATATGAAATTTTGCCATTTTATCTTCTTTGCAAGGGAAGAGGATGTCTCTGTTGTACAGGAAATTACTTGAACTATTTGTAAGAGAAGTTGGCTTTTTGAGAGGTTGATAAAAATATGGCCTTTCCCTCCTATTTCTTTCTTTTTTCCTTCCTCCGGATCTGTAGTTTGTTTAGTTTACCATGTGTTTGGTTTGGCAGAAAGTAAGAGAAGTAGAAACCTCTCTCTCTCTCATCATATCAGATGGTGTATCAGTTGTATCTAGAGGCGCTTTATATTGTTTATTAGTTTTTTATTTTCAAACCTGTTCATGGGGTTGATATCATATTTTGCATACGATATCATAGGCTGATACAGGTTGATATGTTGCAAAATTTTAAACCTTGGGATTAGTAATAGTAGTAATAATAGAGCTGTAAAGCAGGCTATGTTGGGACAGCACGGTATGGCCCATGCAAAGTGCGGGTTCTACCTCCCTCCCTAGGGATATTTTGGGGGTAGGCTCGGCCCCAATTCACGCAGGCCCGGGTCGTGCCAGGCTGGAGCCATGGATCGAGCCAAAGTTATTTATTTAAAAAATTAAAATAATCTCAAATTTTTATTTTATATGAATTTTGATGTATACAATTGTCTATTTTATTAATATATTATATTCTATATATTATTATATAATTATAATTTATATAATATTATATATATGTATATATATGAAGGGCCGACTCAAAATTGTGCCAAGTCGTGTTGAGCTGCGGGCTGCATGACCTGATTTACACCTCTAAGTAAGAAGCCACCTCGGTTAGGGAGGGGCGTAGCATAGAGCTGGTAGTTAATCTAGACTTGAACATGGTCAGAAGCTTAAGAACTCACCTGAACCCATCTCATTTTCATGTGTCGACCAAGTATGTTTTTGGTTCCATGGGCGTTTGTAGATGGAGTGTTTATTGCTTTAAACGTTTATTTGAAAAAATACTACTTTAAACGTTAATTCCTTTTGTTGTTTGGTTGGGTGTTTCAGGTAACACCCAATAAGCTTACTTTTCACCTCATCTTAAGATATGCCACATAAGCATTTCACTTCAACAAACAGTAGGGCATTGAGGGAAACTTCAAATTCCCGATTGCTACAATGCCTCATGCATACAAATTCAAGCATTTTTGTTTTTTAGTGTTTATTTGATAAATGTTGAAACCAAACAATGGTTTCATACACAATAAACGCCAATACCTATTTAACGTTGATGTAGCGGCGTTTTTCCAATAAACACCCACGGAACCAGATGCTACTTCGAAGCACAAAAATAGTAGGGGTGAATTACTAAAATCACCCCTGAAGCTTCTGTCAGTTGCTGAAACCTCTCCTATTTATTTATTTATTTTCTAGTGGCAGTTGACTCCCTTCAAATTTCTAAAGCTATTTCATCTACACCCCACCTTCCATAGAAAAGATACTAGAAAAAGCTGATGTCATGCTCTCTTAATATCTTTTAGGCCCATACACTCTATTCATCGTCTCCCACCTTTCAACATGGAAAGCAAGGCATCCACTAAGTCCTTGTTCGTTTGATTTTAATGCCTCTTATTTCTTATCACTTAATACCTTTACGATTTCATTCATTTTGTAGTATCTTGGTAAATGCACTTATTCGAGCAAGCGTTTCTTAGAAAACATTTATCCAGGTAAAAATACTTAGCAATGTTCTTTTATTTTTTAGGTAAAGGTGTACAATGATCGATTTATCCAAAAAGTGACTTTATTGAAGGGATAATATTGTCACATCTAAGGTTTTTAAAACCAGACCAGACAAGTAATTGTTTTGGGACTGGTTCCCGGGTCGAATGGTATGATTGTTCGATCTGAACAAACGACTTGTTTTGACAAAAAATAAAAAATAAAAAACAAAAAACAAAAAACCGTTGTTTGAGTTGGTGGTTCAATCAATCGGGTTAGTGGTTTGTAGACCAAATCAACAGTTTTTGGCCAAAAAGTGGTTTTGGGGTGAAATGGAACCAGTCAAGTGACCAATTCCCGGTTTTTTCAGTCCGACCATCCGGTCCGGTCCAGTTTTGAAAACAATGACCACATCACATATTAGCAATTTTTGGTGTTCATGGGTAAACAATTTATCCAAGTGTAAGGAGAATATTACTTCCCCAAGTAAATGAGTCGTTCTGAAATCATTCTTTATCATGGAACTCACTAATACCGAAAAACGAATATGGATTTATTTATTTTCCATGAAACCTACCAATTTACCCACCTCCATTTCTCAGAAAACAAACGAAACCTAAAAAGAATTAAGAGTGTTCCATTCCCATTTATCTATAGCCTTAATGTACATCATGTACAATAAAATAATACTCACTTATAATTTTCAAAAATACTCCCAAATCATTCCTCCTTTTACCATGCATGCTATGATGTCTACCCTATAATAATAATTGATGATGCGAATGAAAATCCATCAAGACTCAGATACTCAATCTATTTGATAATAAGCGGAGTATTCCTACGAACGATTAAGAGTTAAGACCGTGAAATTTCAAGATTGTCTTTTTTTTCCAATTGGTTTTTGCTTAAAATCGAATTACAAAGAAAATCCATAGGTTATAAAGCAAGATACTCATATATTGAAAGTCATCGAAATTTCTAAAAGTAACAAAACAAATTTAAACAATACTATGGAACAGCATAAGTAAGCATAAACAGGGAGAGCTTCAGGCATTCCTTCAAAAAACCAAAATCACATGCAAAGAACTTCCAGGAAAAGGAGAAAATAATCGTAAAAGGAGAGATCCATTAATTCAATTTCCATGATACACGAACCAAATGCAGAAAAACCAAGCTATGAAGCTTTATTTTGGGTTATTTAATTTAGAGGTAATAGAACAAGGGTGGACTTAACTCTGTTCCCCGGCCTCTTGAAGCGATGGACAATCAGAGAAGTCCAGAGTTCAAGGCAGTCAGAATTAAACCGGAGATAACAATACTCCAAGAGGCGGAGAGTTGCATGCAGTCTTTCTTAACTCGAGGCTTCAAAGATTTCAGAGTCAGTTCAGAGGACCTTGGGTCTCAGAAGTGTTCAGGGTCGGTTGAAAGAGAAAGAGTAGGGATGGGAGTTACAGTCGATGCCCTGCTTTTCAAGGTGGGAGACGATTCATCAATCATCATGGCAAATTTGATATTTAAAAATAGGAGAATTCTCTTAGATTAACCCTAAGTTTTAGGAAATGGATTAATCCTACTCTTACTATTTATAAAATTTCTGATAATTGACAAAAATATTGACGAAAACAATGAGATGTCGAATTTGCCTTCTATTATTCTTCAAATTTTTAAAATAAAACCCAACAGATTGAATTCAACAACTTGATTCCGATATATAACTTAACAACATCATCGCTATCTCCAATCCAGCGTAGCAGCGTACAACGACCCAATTAGATCTGCACGGCGTACCTGTTTCGAGTCTGCATATTACGCCATCTAAACCCAGCGGCAACTTCTTTTATACAAGCCCAACAAGTTCGCGCCCTAAGAATTCAGTAGCCTGGGGAGTGCAGGTTCAGTAGTCTGGAACAGGATTTGACCCGTTCTGAGATTCCTGAGAACAAATATCGATAGTATTTGGTTAATCCACTTTAACGGCATCAAGTCCATTAATACATAACAAGAAACTAGGTAGAGCATGACCAGTGCACTATGATGGCTACAATTGTAGGGAGAGTGGTTCCAACTTCCAAACCAAGATCTAATTCCAGCTGGGAGGCCCGTTAGAATTCGTTATATTCGATTGAAGGTAAGTGTGTATCCTAAAAAACCACTTTTCCCTGGGCTTTTCTTGGAAAAGGATGGTGACGATGTGATTAAGGAGTCCTGATTTTCTGCACAATCCTTCCTGAATGTCTTTCTGTACATCAAATCAAAGAGTGTCATGTCAACAATCTCTCATCTTAAAATTTCACGTGTACGACTTAGAATAACAGATGTTTCAAACGTCTTTCATGTTTTTACTATATTAAAATTTTTAAATAAATAAAAAATACGGATTAGGATTTCTTTTTCCAAGTCACTCCACTGTTCCAACAGGTTCTAGCTTCATATTTCATGACGACGCCATTTTAGACTTTCGTAGCTTCAAACCCCCTCTTCATGCCATGATAGTAGACCTGTTCATGGGCCGGGCCAGACCGGGTTCGGGCCGGGCTTTCACTTTGTATTAGTAGATTTTTTTAAAGTTCAAGCCCGAGTCCGGCCCGACCATCGAGCCTACAACTTGGGCCCGAGCCCAACCCTCATAAAAAGCCCGAAACCCAGGCTTGGGCCCGAGCCCGAGCCCGAAATTTAGTCTATATTGTTACTACTACTAAAGCGGCTGAATAAAGATAGAGAGAAATTATAAAGAAAAAAATAAAAAAATGTATATATTAAATTATAAACATATATATGTATATATTTCAATAAATATTCTATTATTTATATATTTTATTTAATATATAAAATACACATTATGCATTTTATAAAATATATAATGCTGAATCGGGCCGGGCTTGGGTCGGGCTTTTTTGACATATCCCGAGCCCGGCCCGAAACACAGTCGGGCTTACTGTGTTAGGCCCGAGGTCAGGCCCGCGGGCCTAATTACATGAAGCCCGACTGGGGTGTGGGCTGGGCCATCGGGCCACCCAACCCATGAACAGGTCTACACGTAAGGCATTTCTTCCTCTTCTCTCTCCAACTTTAATGGCTGAGATCACGAAACCCGAGGAGACCAAACCTAAGAAGATTAACTCCTATTCCTCATTTTGCTTCAAGTTCTAAGGCCAAGTCCTTGATCCCAACTGACATGAAACCAGCAGAAACTAGGCGGCGATGGTGGTCAGAGAAGAATGTATTGGCCTCTTGGTGAAGTCGGTCATCAGCTTCAACTTTCTTCGAACATTATTATTGTCTGATCTCTCCATTATCTGATCTAACCGTCTTTACCCTAGATCTGAAAAAGGCAGGCAGCCAAGATGAGAGTGTCAATGCTCTTTAATGGCAACCTCACATTGGTGGTGAATTAGTTGCTTTACTCCCCCGAGACCAGCATAGAGAAGCTCATTTTCCTTCGTTCTCCCGCTCGTCCAAACTATCAGCAACCGAAGGAGGTGCGTGCGTCAAGCATCCCCATCGACATCCTCGAAACCCAAGGCGTAAGTATTCTATATGGACGTCCTCGGCGTCTCTAAGTCCAATATCCAGGTTAAAGTGGAGGACGACTTTATGATGGTGATACGAAGCACTGACAAGAGGAAGGGGGAAGAGGGCAGATGCTATGCAAATCCCAAAAAAAGCTATAAATGATCAATTGTATAAAAAAGTTTCAAATCGGTGGCTAGCCTTCTTAACATGAAACTACGACTGGTGATAGATTCTATGTTCTTTTGAATGTTTTATTGTCTATCTACATATTAAAATTGACAGAGAAAGGTAAATTAAATACTGTCTATCTACATATTAAAATCATGAAGCAAAAAAAAAAAAAAAAAAAACAAAAAATCTACATATTAAAATCGGCAGAGAAATGTCAGTTAAATACTTTACCAGTTGGTTATAGAGTCTCAGTTTTCATGCGTTTAATTCTTGGAAATCGAAAGTCAAGACGGAAATCTTATTCTCGATTTTTAATTTTCTTTGTTTTTTATTTGAATGAAATAGAAAAAGAAACCCTAATATGTTTTTTTTTATTTATTTATTTTAAAATTTTAATATACTAAAAGTAGGAAAGACGTTTGAAAGATAGTGAGTATTTTCTTTTTGCTAGTTTCGCTTCTCTTGTACAATACATTGTACATTACTACATTTTATGAGGAATAGTTGTTTTGAGATTTGACCCCTTTCAAGAAGCTCCATTAAACTACCTCTACTTTTCCATCCAAAATTTGAGCTCGACTTCTGTTTACCCTCCGGTTCACAGGAAGCATGCACATGTGAATGAAAAATGAGCACGTCACCTTATCAAGTTAACATGAATTTAACGGAAATGCTCTGTTAAGGTTGGTTCAATAGCCACTAAAAGACAAAAAAGTGAAAAATGACAAAATCCAACAGTACTTTCCTCCCTCATTTGAACTCCCCTCCTATCGTCTTTCAGCATCAAACCATGAGAGACCGATGACCAGTGACCAGCGGTAAAATCATCGAAATGCAGGAAATGTGGGTAGAAAAAGAAAAATTAGATTCTAAGACAACGAAAGAAGAAGGTCAAAATCAATTGGAACACTCACTCTTGCATTGTCACCAACATATTAGCTGATTTCATGCCTTGCGAGATCAAGTTTTCTGCTCTAGTATTCAGATTTTCAGGTAAATTTTTGCTACCAACTTCTGTGTGTTGGGATCGATCGGCTCGACAGTAATCCAAACTTCATGTAAATGTGCTACAGCCGATTGTTTCTTGGATTATTCAGTCCATAATTTCAAACGTTTAAATACTCTTGTTGGAAAATCTACATGTACGTAGCAAGGATTGGGGAATTCTTTAAAGCTACCACAAATGAGGTTAATTGTATAGTTTTGATTGCGCTATTTTTGTTTTTTACAGGGAATAGGAGAAAGCAAGAAATGAAGGTGGTGACAAGCAATTAATTTTTTTAGTTGTCCCTAGATGGATTTTCTCTCCTAATACCTCAAGCTTCATGCTTTTCAGCCTACTTAATGATCTTAATTTTGAAGGTTAGGCTTACTTTACTCCGATAGCAACCGGTAGCAGTTGATTCCTTGCTGTTGGACCAACCAGCGTGTGTTTGACTTTTGGGACACGACCTTTAGATTTCAGAGGATTGTTGTTGACAAAAAAGAAGAATAGTTTACCATCAGTCTTTGGTCGTTGGTCTAAGGGCCTGTTTGTTTTCTTTTTAACTCTTATTTCTTAAGAGAAATCTTTTAATTTTAAAAGAAAATTGGTTGTTCATTTCCTCTTATCTCTTAAAATGTAATTATACAACTTTTTGTTCTCTAATGATATTCTTAAAAAGATAAACAAAAACTCTCATATATGGGGTTAAAATAGATATTTGATAGTTTTCAAAATTTAGAGTTAAGAGGAAAGAAAAATTCACTAATACCAATATACCTCTTAATGTAATTATTACACTTTCAGATGTTAGACTTTAGAACAAACGAACATGCCCTAAGTTTAAGAGAGGAATTCGAATGAGAGAGGGAAATATTATTGGGTTTTTGTTGTTTTTTGTCTTTTAGTGGCTGGTTCAATTAGATGGACCACTGTTAATCGAGCAACCTTGTTAAACTCCTGTTGACTTACTAAGACGATGCGTTTATTTTCCATTGGCAGGTGCACGCTTCCCGTGAACCGAAGGGTCCACAGGGTTCATGCTCCAAAATGTTTAGTTTTTTCAAGGTCATGCAAAAAGTTCCCGAAGATCCCACTCAGGAACGATTGAACAAACCAATCTCTTTTAGAACACATGAGCAGAACCATTGTTCATCAGAATAATCTCGTTGAGCGTCTTGGCTGTTCTGAGGCCTATCTAGCTGCATATGAGACAATTGCGAAAGAGGGCATTTTCAACTATTAAAGGGTATTACTGTTATTTTCTCAAAATATAAGAGTCATGTGGTGTAGCATGTGAGCAGATTGTGATGGAACACTAAGGGCAGGGAAGGAATTAGTCAATTATATTGCAAGAAAACTTAAAGGGTACTTTACGGGAATATATAAACAGGAGGGTACAATAAGTCCGTTTCTTAAACCTTAGGGGTAGTATAAGAGAATTCCCAATAAGATAAATTGCTAAAACCTCCCTTGAAACTCTGACCATTGCTATAAGCTCCCTTGAAGTTTGGTAGTAGCAATCACCTTTACCTCCCCTGAACTTTTGAACACAAATGCAAGTGGCCCTCCTTCTGTGAAAATCTATTAACAAAAGCATGAAAATGTCCAAAATACCCATACAGTTATTTTTGACCAAAATTCTACATTTTCTCTTCACATCAATCGCTATCCTTTAAATTGCTGATATGAGCAGCAAGCTGTGTTTAATATAGGCTATAAAATCCTTAAGACTTACTTTTGACTGGGTATTTTACTTCACCATGGCAATCATTTCATAGCATATTATTCAGATAAAAATACGGGGCGTTTAGCTTTTAAAAAAAGAAATTAAAGCAAAGAAAGATAGAAACTCTAGATCTATCTCTCTCTGTTTCTCTTACTGATTTCTACTCCAAAAAGTCTAATTCCCTTCTCCACTCTTCCATGACCTTCCCCATCCCCATCCAATGAACGCTCAGAACTCTCTCCATCCATAATTTGTCCACGATCTCTTGCACCTCCAATACTCTGAGTCTCAATCATGCAAAATGACCTTACTTCTTTGGAGGCTTCTGTGTATTGGCACATGTAAAAGACAACGGTATCACCAGCTTTCAATTCTTTCTCCTTGACAAACCGGTTCCACCCTCTCGTGAACACAAAGCTCTGGCTACTCTTCCAGTAGCAATATCTGAATTTCCACAGTTTGAGCTCACTGTCACGGACTGTAAGCTCCATCGCCTCCACCTTGCCACCATCCTCATTCTCTTCAAATGTAGCTTCGGGAGCTAGAGGAAAGTATGCCACAGCATACTTCTTAGGGATGACAAGCCTGTTCAGCTTACCAACGTCGCTGGGTGTCAGCTCCTTGTGGAAGAGTTCTTGACGTAATATACCTCTTTCATTCGCTCCGCCTTTGATGCTCAACGGATTACCCAGTTGTGAAGATTGGTTCATGATGAACTCCATCAACTTTGACTGGTACGACCCATCCTTGATCATGTTCAGGATTTTATCGGTGGTGTGGAGATCCTGGAAGAAAGGCTCCTGGGCGGCAATGTCAGTCCATGGGAAATTCCTGTGCGAATATCCTTTGCGAAGCTTGATGGCAGCACTGTCGTAGGCCATCGCTGCAGCCTGCTCTGTTTTGAATGTTCCCAGCCAGATTCTTTGGTGGTTGGCGTAGATTTGTGCACCCCAGTTCCCATTCTGCTGCATCACTACGCCTTTAAATCTAGAGGCCGAGGATGTGGAGTGTTCATCTCGTTGACGCTTGTTCGGCCGGTCCAGGTTGCTGCTACTGTTTGCATCTGAGCCTTCTGGAGCTGCAAATGCTCCTGAGTTTGAAACAGTGCTCAAGATCTCCTCCTCCATTAATTGAATTTCTGGAACAAAGGGGTACTAAGAAAAGATATAATACAGTAAAAAAGAAAGGATTAAGAAGCAGAAAAATAAGAAAATATAGTAAGACAGATGATCTTGTTCCTAATTAACATGTATATCTAATCCTAGCTTGATTTTCTGTAAAAGCCATGGCTCTTGCATTGCTATATATGCACAATGCCATCTATCCACCCCTTCAAAGGCTTGATGCATGCTTTACGCTATGACTGATGAAGGTCTTACCATCTCACTGTACTTCAAATGTGATTGTTGTTGAAGCTTGAATTTGAATAGCTAACTTCTAGCTAGGATTAATTAAAACCAAGCAAGCAATTAATATTGAAATTTCTCCATGTATTTATTCTTTTGTATATAAATATATTTAAGTCGGTGGTTCAAAAATAACTTAATCTATGCTTTAATTTGTCAAGCTATGAAAAAATATCTCAAAAAGGATCCTGCAGAGAAGTCTAAATAAGGAAAGTAGGACTATACCCAGGTTAGCTTTCTTCCTATCATATATGAACTGAGGTGGAAATTACTGGAAATTGAGTTTCTATATATATGGTGGTGATTGTCCCGCGCCTCCAAAGGCTTAATGCTTTAATTAATTTCTCTTCAATATATGATTTCTCTTGTAAGGTTGCTTTATTTCTACTAATTTAAATCCCTTAAATATTTGTTTTTTGTACTCGAAATGTGAATGTTTTTGAAGCCTGATTGAAATTAATTAATCACCTCCTTTTGCTATAGCTTAATAATGTGGATTGATTGATCTTTGGTAATGACCCACTGGTCATATGGATTATTAACGAGAGAGAGAGAGAGAGAGATCTAAAAGCATTTATTAGAGTTCCCACAGAGTTGTTAAAACAAACTCGATTCATCAATGAACCTACACACATGCACATATCCATGATAACTAAACAAATAAACTGAAACTTAAAAGAAGCAAAAAACAACAAAGAAAAAACACTTGGGGGAGAAATTATCAGAAGCAATGCTTCAGACAAAGTTAAGATAATGTAAAGAAGACAATGTTAGAAAAAACAAGAGCATATCTACACCGGAAACTAATTATAACTAAACCAAATCATAAACATAAGAAAACGTAAAAAGTTAGCCAAACAATATAGTAAAAAGAAATCGAAGCTAAATTGAATCGACATAGGTTCAAGAGTAGATACGAAATGGGCCAACTAATCAGAAGTGAAATACAAGAAAGTTCTGAACCCCAGAAACTATCTCAGAGGAGAACCTGAATGCTGAAGAGGTTCTGAACAAGCCTTCAACAGTTCATCGTGCTACAAAAGCAACGAGAACTTACAATTACAAACATGGAGATATATAGGGAGAGAGAGAGAGAGAGAACAAAAAATTAAACTTTCATTAGTGGAGAACCCATTTAAGGAAGAAAAAATAAATATTTGAGTACTCTTAATAAAGGAAATTTAAGATTTGAAATAAAATTACGTATGGATATTAATTGGAAAGTAGATGAGAATGGAAACTCGCTGTCACAAAATATTTGATTCTATTTCGTTATTCAGGCCTCCCCCTTAGACCAATTTTCTGTGGGTTCCTTTCAATAGATTTCCAAGAAAATCAAAAGAGTAACGAGTCGTGTGTGTGTGTGTTACGAGAGAGAACAAGCACTTAGTCCTGCTGGGTCGTTGTCTCGTTGGTACTTACAAGTCTACTAATTTCTAATTATGGAAAAAACGAAAAAAAAAAAAGAAATGATGTCTGTCACAGAAAATTTCGAAATTTTTGGCTTATTTTGATTTTGTTCCAGTGCATAGCTACCACCAATACAGCAAGACAGTTTTTGTTTTATTTTAGGTTCTTGTAAATACATATTTGTAGAATTTGTTTGTTGGATCAGAACTTTACTTCTATATGTAAAATTACATAACTTTTATGTAATTTTGGTGGATAAGATAGGCTGGAATTCTGGTTTCAAGTATTCGGATGGGGAGCTGAATTAATCCAGAAGGTCCATGAAATGAGAACACATTTTGTCAATGGCCTCAAAGCAAAGGCATTTGTCTACTTCCAACTAAAGCATTTATCCTCTATGTTCAACTTCACTACTATCAGAGATTGATTAATTGATGAGCCACCTGAAAGAGATCACAGTTCATGGCATTTTACTTAATCCAAGAAAGCTATGAGGTACCAACGCCTCTATGTATCGGCAGAGGCATATCGGTACTTAGATACAAACGGAAATACCTTTTTTTTAGTTTTTTTTTTTTCAAATTTTGGTTTTTGGGAAGATATTTAAGCATATTTTTTATTAAAAAAGAGTGGGATACCGAAAACATGTGTATCAAATTGGGCATATCATATCGAAATTTTGAACCTTGTAGAACATAAACATATGTATCTAGCCGGAAGAGTCTGCTGCTCACTCGTCCCATCTTCCACTGTTCCTATCCAGCACAGATTTCTAGCTATACAGAACAGAACTGATGAACTGTATGAATAGGCCTAGTCATATTTATTGTAAAGGGGCCTCCTACCCAACTGGTGGACAACTAGTTAAAAATCATCTGAGATTTTAATGGTGTTCTTGCAAGATAGGCAAATTCACATCTTTTTAGGAGTAAACTGTGGTATTCCTGTAAGGAGAAGGTTGAAGAAATATAACAGGTTATTTTTTGGAACCTCTGCCAGGTAAATGCATTTAAGAGGCCTCTGACTTTTAATTGAATGATCATTTAAAACCTTCAAGTCAAATGCAGCTTTCAAATTAGACTCAGAGGCAGTACACACTAAGCATTAGGAGGTTAGCACAAAGCATGAAAGTTTTCATATGATTAACTAGGCATAGTAATACAAAAAAATTATGAATTATGTAATTCAAACTAGAAGAACTCAAAGTCCAGATATTTGCCACCGGACTTCATGTCTGTCCCTACCATTCTCTTACTGTTGCTTCCTACCCCAACTGTATCAACCACCCCAAACTTTCCTGGTAGCTCAGGCTCCACTGGTCTTGGCACCTCAGGTGGTGTGCTGCACCGTATTAGTGCCCAGTTAACACCTTCAAAGAATGGGTGCTGCTTGATCTCAGTTGCTCCTCTCTTTACCCCAAGCCGATGTTGTGGTTCCTTTACCAGCAAGCCCCGGATAAGATCTCTGCTCGAGTAACTGGTTGCGGGCGAGTCTGGGAATCTCAGCTGCTGACCAACCACATTGAACAGTGTTGCACGATTGCCTGAGCCCTTAAATGGAGTCTTGCCATACAAGAGTTCATGCAAAAAGATACCAAATGTCCACCAATCCACCGCACTGCCATGGCCTTCTCCCTTGATTATTTCTGGGGCCAGGTATTCATGTGTCCCAACAAAGGACATGGACCGTGCTGCCGTTGGCTCTGCTACAAGCTCAGGGAGCGTGCTGGCAGGTGGACCAGGCTCTGGCCGAGGCTTTCGGGTTTTCTTCTTGTTCTTCTGAGGAAAGATCCGTGGAATAAAGCATGCAGGCTGGATGCATGCAGATGCTGGCTCAATACAGGCAGGCTGAACACAGAATGCACTTCCAGTTGCCCTTTTGGAGGGATCAGATTCAAATGAGGTCTTTATCAGGGTAGGTGAAACTGCACATCTTAGAGAGAGATCAAAATCTGAGAGCATAATGTGTCCATCATCACGGACAAGCACATTTTCAGGTTTCAAGTCCCTGTAGACAACTCCAAGCATGTGAAGATACTCCAGGGCCAAGAGCACTTCTGCAGCATAAAACCTGCTCAAGGAGAAAAGTAACATAATCATGAGGTCAGAAAAACATGTTAAGGAAATAAATAAATAAATACAAAAAATAGGCACAAATAAATGATCTAAAACACACCATAGGAAACATAAAGACAAGTTTTCCCTTTGAGCAGTCCCAAGCTTTTGTTTCCAGCAAGATAGATATATTCAGTAATAAATAATCATTAGAAACTAAGACAGGTCCACTGTCTTTGAACCATAACATGTCCAACTCAGGAAGCACATGTTAGATGAATAGCAACTTCTGAAGTTGATAATACATCTTTTGCTTTTGAATCCTTCAAAGTTTAAATAAGGGGATCAGCAACAAATTGAAAATGATTACATTAGATGGTAAATGAGGAAGAAGGAAAGGTTTCAGACTATCAGTTTATTAGAGATGAAGAAAAGCATAAATATTCTTTTCTCTTTTAGCTTCTTTCTTTTCTCTTTTTACTCAAATCAGCTGTCACATCAGCACAAGAGAATATACTGTCAATCAAGATCTAAAGTTCACCTTGCCTTGTCTATTGTCCAGAGGAGAATTGTGCTTACTGTTCATCAAGTAGATAGAATTAGCCTTTCCTGGTATTCTTGTATTGTCTTTAAGATGATAAGCAACTGCCCTCAACCATGATTTGCTATTCAACAAAGAACATTATTTAGTAAAGTACCAACAATTAGAAACACCAGAGAAACAGCAACCAGAGACTCGTTTCATTGAGGTGATGCCAAGGTGCTAGGAGGATTTATCATCTCATAGGCACCATCATCATTTTCCTTTTCTTTTTTTCTTTGATGGGGGAGAGATGTTAAAAGATAACGTCATTTTAATCACTTTTCTTTGGATTGAAAACAAGTTTCTCCAAGGTTGGCGACTGAGAAAAACTACGTAACCTTGTTAGTTTATCTCTAACTTCCCTACATCCTAGCAATTAAATCCTGGTTAACTTCAGTTAGAATGTTAGTCTGAATTATGAGGTTCTACTAATGGGGCAGAAACGATAATACGATATCACTATATCTATGCTCTGCATCATGGCAAAAAAAGTTTATCACTGTATTCTCTGCATAATGGATTTATGACCCAACGGCCAAATTGCTTGCCATAATTTGTCAAATGCCACTAGAGTTGAGGGAGGAATTTGCCTTTTCTCCTGGCATTGGAGAGACTTATTGTTAAAGTTGTTCAGTAAAGACTATTTATTTTTTTCAGCAATACTAAATAGATATTTTATTGATGTAGAGAGAAAGAACCGACATCCTGGAATCAGTGTTACACATTTGCCCCTGTTCCAGTGCCCCTCCAAATCAATATTCAATGCATCCCTTGATACCCCTTACATGGCTAGAGCATCTGCCATACCATTTGTCACCCTTCGAATCCACCTTAACAAGTTCAGGCTTGCTGCTAGGGCTTTAGCTTCCCAAAAAATACATCTGTAAGCCCAAAATCATCTGAACCATGGAGAAATTATCCAATCACTACTTGGCAATCACCATCCACAAACAAGTCACTCCAATCTCACAAGAAGGCTAGCTGTAAGCCTTGAAAAAAGGCTAATAGTTCATCCTTAAGGGATATCCATTCACCAGCAGGGCTTGAAAGGCTAAGAAGGATGTAGACGATATGATCTATGAATATCCCTATTAATTCCTAAGAATCTTGGGATGCCTAGGCAGCAGCCATCTGGCAAAAATTATACATTATGATTTTTCATATACAGTTATATAACATGCCCATGCAAACCAATAAACAAACAAGTTACTATAAACATTCTTGGTAGCTTCAAACGTAGGCACAGAGCAGAGTAAAGCTGAAATACGTTACAATATACACTTGGGGTGGTCTAGTGCTACTCAGAAAGGAAACAAGTGCAAGTAAGAGGCCCCTTGTATTTGACATCAATGCTAACTTATAGAGCTTGATGCTAGGGTTTTTTGTTCAGTTTGCGCAAAAGAGAGAATCCCCTAACAGAGCCCAACACATTATAAATTTACATTTTAATCATCATTGGGAGGTTAGGTGTAATAAATATCACTGTTCACATTTCTAAAGGGCGTTCTCTACTAAAATTGCTTAATCCCAAGCCCCCCCTCATATCTCTTCTACGGAGAGCTCTTTTCTCCTCTTAAACCAGTCATCTCAATTTCCAGCAACAATAATCTTCTTTGGATCAATGTCATCTAAATCTAACCAAGGGCCAATACTAAATTAGATGCACCCACCATTGTCCACACACAACTCATCTCAACATCTCCAAAACCATACCTCTAGCACCCCCTTCCCCCAAAGATTTGTTAAACTTTCCATGAGCTAGGGATGTGACTCTCCCAGGTCACATTATTTGATGATTTCTATCTCAGCAGGTATTTTCAATCAAACAATTGTCCAACATTTGTAATCTCAAATTAGATTCTTCTTCACAAGGACTAACATAAAGCCCATTCCTAAAGAACCAGTCTCTGCAACTCAACCATCCAAGACACTATCAATCCAAACTGTCGGATAAATTTCTAAACCAAATTCAATATTACACAAGAAAAAGCACTCATCTGACCACAGAAAATTACTGCTCAAACTTGGCACCTAGGAGTAGTTGTAACTGCAAGTATCTTGCTCTTGTCAGCACCAACTTATATTGAACAACAGAATGATCATCTTCTTTTCGTTTTCTTGTATTGTTTTGTCTTTCTGCATTAACAGTGAGAAAGGATAACATGCTAATAAGACAACTTGTTCATGATTCTTAGGGGCCTGTTCCTACCTCCCATTGAGCCAATAAAAGTAACTAATGTCGATAAATGAGTTGCGAATTGCTTTGAGATTCTAAAATAGCCAAAAACTATGGCTTAAAGTGAAAAGTCAAGATCAAAGAATGTCGAATCTAAAGAATCAACTTAATAAGGCACTTAAAGAGGCTAATATTTCAGTTTCATTTTACACTCTCTGAGCTAAACCCAGGGCTTTCGGGGAAAAAAAATACTTGCAAGGTAGAGATTCCCTATTGTCAATTTTGTCAACATTGCAACTAGAACAAGGGTTCCAAGTCAAATGTTTCAGATCAGATGGCATTAAGCTGATACTTGACAGTGAAAAAGTAAAAGAGATGAAATGGAAAGGACAATAAAATGCCTTTTGTTCTCTCCCACTCACACTATCATACTATATGTAGAAAATAAAAGTGAAAAACATGATTATGTCTAGATTTTCAAGTGTATGAAATAGGTAAAACCTTGAACAGACTTCATGCAAGTCATTATTCAGGAAGTTCCAGTTTATCATTTGCATTCCATCTCCTATGTTTGATTTCTTTTTTACATGAAATGGTACCAATGTTATATTTCTATACCAAGACATAGAATGCATTCTAATGCAAACCATGCTTGTGTATCCACTCTTAAACATCCAAAAAATGATGGTACATGAAACCTCCAATGCTGCTATTTGTGTGGCTATTTCATTTCCAAAAAGTTGGTAAGATTGGAAGTCAAAAGAATCAAGTAATGGAAAATGAGCTTCCATGTACAGTCTGAAAACAAAGATGAAAAGCCTCAGCAAACAGAAAGGAGAACAAAAACTGAATTCTCCTTGATAGCAATAATTTTACAGTATGTGAACTTTGAATCGGCTCATTGTAGACATCACCATTGTCTACAGAAAAGCAGAGGGCATGGCCAGCACTTGCTGGCTTTTATTTTTTATTATTGTTCTCAATATATTGGCCAAACATTCCCTCTTATTAGCTCTTAGTAGCAAGGGTCTTTTCCATGATAATAAAATTATCCTGATCAGTATTGAAGATCAAAGAGACCCTAAATAATGACTTATAATACTCTCTTTTCTTCACGTTATGCATGGTGAGTGGTTTAGAAATGCACAATAGATGAAGGATACAGAGTAGCAAATTAAAACTAAGCAATTATCAAGTAAAAATCATGAAAGTCAATATAACTGTAGAGGGAGAAAAGCATTTAGATAGAGGGCATGCATAAATACAGGGTACATAGAATCATGGAGGCTTTCTAACAAAAAAAGTTAAAGAAAAGCAAAAAAACAACAACAGGAGTACAGGACAAGAGAAAGAACTACGAGTGCATATTGATGCAAAATGAAATAGGAATATCAATTGAGTTGCTTGAGATGGGGGCTGGACAAGAACCATATGAATGCCCAGGATAGCAGAGGATGTGTATACCATACCGTGCAGCATATTCAGAGAAGTGTTTCCCAGGTTGCCGCTGCCTTAGAGTGTGCAAATCACCTCCTGGACAGTACTCCATCACCAAACATGAGAACCTATCTGTCTCAAAATGTGTATATAAAGTTGGCAGAAATGGGTGGTCAAGCAGCTGAAGAATCTCTCTTTCTGTCTGAGCCCTTGTCAACTTCTTCCTGCTTGCAAGGGATGCCTTGTCCATTACTTTCATTGCAAAGTAACACCTTGTCCCACTCAACTCTGAGAGGTAGACACTACCAATGTCACCACAACCAAGCCTTTTGAGCAACCTAAAATGACTCATACCCAAAATTCCATCCCGTGCTCGAACAGCAAGAATAGCCTTCCATCTAGGGTCATTCCCTTTATGAGGCTTATTAGCACTACCAGTAATGTTACTCCAATTACTGTCATCACTCAGACCACTGCTATCGCTTGCTCTGCTAACACTAGATTTTGCACTTTCAAGAGAGTCTCCTCTAACACTCCCCTTTGTGCTATCGCAGTTTCGTTCTACACTAAGCATACCATCACTAGTAACCCCATCACTCCTGTATGTACTGGTGCAGCTATTGACAATACTCATAGCAGTGACAACACCTGTACTATCAATACTACTGTGTGGACTTACATTGCCACTGGGAGGCAAAGAAGCATCCCAAACACATTCCTTCTCATCAGATTCTGGTGGCAGATTTGTGCCTTCTGTAGTTTGTGAGGCACGGGCAACTGAAAATGGAGATGACAATGCAGCCAAATCATTAGGCTCTTCAACCAGACTTTCTGCAGGTGAAAGAACACTTGTAGTTGGTTTAACACCAGGAACCCGGATCGAGAGATCCTCTATAAAAGGACCCTTCATAGACAAGCTTTTTACCAAGCACCCAGGTTCAGATTTGTTCTGGCCAATTGGCACATAGACTGTTCTCATTAAATCTGTATCTACAGGTTCTGGAGGATGACTAGCGCCAGAGAAAGAACTAGGGTCACCTTCTTCATAGGCATCCCCACTGCCCTTGAATGACACAGCATCAGGCATAGCTTCCTCTGGTTCCTGGAAAGAGTTTTTTCCTTTTAATGTTTTTACCAATGCAGATGAATCTGAACTTTGAGATCCTCCTACCTTGGATGGACCCTCTGCTGCTTTTGCCGCATTAATGTGTACATTTTTCGCCTGACTTGCTACAGCCAACTGCTCCCGAAGTGTCTTGATTTCAGGACTATTTTCCATTTCAGATGCTTGTATATCATCACATAAGCTATCTCAGTTTGGTGGATTCACAAATGGGTTTAAGCTTCTCTCAAAGAGTACACCAGGAAACACCTTTCTTTTCTTTTCTTTCCGCCAGTCTAGTAGAACTCGCAAGAAAAATTGTCTAGCCTCCCCAGTCAACGGGAGGCTATAGTTCATCCTTCATAGTTTTCAGGACAATGTAGTCGCTCTGTAATGTCTCAGAAAGTAAACGGACCTTTAAGATAAACAAACCTGCAAAAAAGGAACCAATAATTGTCCATCAAAAAATTAAAAGAAATGGAATCCGAGTTTCTATTTACTTGACTACTCAGTAGAGATAAAAGACAAAAAAAAAAAAAATCTAACCAATAAATAAGTCCAGATCAAACGAAAAGTAGAACTTCTGGCATGGCAATCTGGATACTTGCTTGCCACACATGAATGTTTTCCAAATGCAGGAACTATACAAATCAAAGAAAAGCGCATATGAACAGAGTAGAAACTCTAATCTTCATCGACCTTGAGGCATTTCAAATCACAAAACATGATAAAAGAAATCCTAATTAGCAAGCCTTCCCAAGAGTACTAGGAGATGAAACAAACAAATAAACAACCTCATGCCTCCCCAAACTAACACTAGCTCACAATGAAGTAAAAGAACTGAAACTAAAAAAAAAATAAGAACAAAGCCCAGAAAAGAAGATACACAAAACCGCGGACAAAGAAAAGCAAAATGCTAAATTCCCTCCACAGAATTTGTTACCCAGTAAAGTACATTTCCCACCGGATCCTTCAAAACCACGCCAAAACCTTGACATAAAAAACAAAAAAAAATGAAAAAAGAATATAACTTTAACCAGAAATCTCACATTGAAAAACCCAAGAAGGTGAGATCCACAAAACAGAAGAATGCAGGGGAAGAACGGAAAAGAAAAACCCGGGATTTGATGAAGAGAAAATATAATCAGATTAAAACCGCACCGCACCAGTGGACAATGGATCATGACGGCTCCTTCTCCTTCCTTGAAGAAAAGCGTAGGATCTAAGACAAGCCAAGCTAGCTCTAGCTGCTATTCGTCTTCTTCTCCTTCTCTCTGTTACTTTCGGTGGGAGAGACAGAAGTAGAACAAAGAAAAAGAGCTCCTAACAGTGTAGCTGGAGACTGAAGTTCTCGCTTTTGCTTTGTGTGTCTTCTTCCTTCATCTCTTTGACAGTTTTGGTGCTTTTTTATTTTTGCCGAGTCATGTGTTAATAGTGGGTGGGCTGTGGGCAGCTCGGGCTAGTTGTGGGGCAATAGCGTCGAACCGGACGCTTTGGCAACGTCGTAGGGTCCCCACAGCCATTTCAGCTCATCTGTTGGGCCCAATTCTGTACCCCTCTTTACCCAACACATCTTTTCAAGGTCTAAGAGCTGATCAGCAGATTGGGAGAAGGAAGGTGGGATTTTGATCGTCGTCGACTACGATGTTTCCGAGTCTATCGGCAGGAGAGGAGGAACAGTTTCTTTTCCTTTTCTTTTCTACTTTTAAGCAAAATCCTCTGTTTGGGTTATAGTCTTTATTACCCACGGCCAAAATTGCAATTCATTATTTATTATTATTCATTTTCATTCAATGGGTATTGGGTAATGAGAGTTATTGATTCAATTTCCACTTCTGCCCCAAATCCAAACACAGCCTTACTTTTCTTTTTCTCTCCCTAAACCCAATCATTAAGCCCAAATAAGACAGCTATGTAGCGTGTAACGACACCCAAAGCTAGAATGATTTATCTTGGACTAGGTTGGTATTGAAATCCAAACACATGTTTTTATTGTGAGGTTTTGAAATCCAAACACATACTCTTTGTCTTTGCGGTAGGGGCTGCAACTTGGGGTGGCCCAACCTAAAACCCTGATGTCGATTGGGTTGGGATTTTCAGAAATTGAGTTGGCCGAATTTGGGTTGATGGGTCAGGGTTGAGGCCCCAGGCAGCCCGGCCGCCCAACCCAAATCCAATCAATCAATCATACATCAATTATTGTGCCTCTATATGCATCTTTGAGTGAGTATTATTAAAGAAAGTCATCATCATATAAACCTGTTCCAACTCCCAACTAAGGGTGTCAATGGATCGGTTTTGGACTGGATTGAACGGACCAACAATATATATTGGATTGGGCCAATTCAATCCAAAATATTTATTAGATTGGATTGGACCTGGTCTCTCTGTAATAAATTTATATTGGATTGGCTTGGATAATGGACCCGGGTTTAGCTTGAAACCAATCTAAATTTAAATGAATTTGAACATATTAGACAGTTCAAATATTGAATTGGACCGGTCCTTATTTATCGGTTTTGGACTGGATTGAATGGACCAACAATATATATTGGATTGGGCCAATTAAATCCAAAATATTTATTAGATTGGATTGGACCTGGTCTCTCTGTAATAAATTTATATTGGATTGGCTTGGATTAAGCCAGTATCTGGTCCATTAATATAAAATAAGAATATAGGTGTCAATGGACCCGAATTTGGCTTGAAACCAATCTAAATTTAAATGAATTTGAACAGATTAGACAGTTCACATATTGAATCGGACCGGTCCTTATTTATCGGATTGGATTGGACCTGGTCCATTTGTAATGGACTCACATTGGACTAGATCAGATTGTTGGATTGGACCAAATCTAGTCCAATTGACACCCCTAGTCCCAACTACATGGGATTGGAAGCATGAATCTTGTTTCTCAATCTGTGATTATGGGTGCTTTAATCATTTCTTTTTATTTTCACCTTCTTTAACTTGTAATAGATTACTTCTTTTCATGGGTGTTAGATGGTTTTCTATGCTTGTAACAGGTCTATCTCGATCTAGTTTCTTTCATTTTTATCACTTGTTGGATTTACTTTGTGTGGCTCCATTTATACATTTCTCCGTTACTCATTTTTGTCGGACATATTGTTTCTCAACTGCCCAACACTTTCTTCATACAATATACCTGACCTAACAACTATTTTATACAAATGAGACTTAAATGAAAAAAAAATAACATTAAAATTTTGTTTTATATTTATTGGACTAACCCAATATGAGCCTAATTGATTATATATATATATATATATATATATTATAAAAAAAACTGGTTACAAAAATGAGGATACTTGGGTTTTATTCTTAGGTTGGGGTTGAGTTTGGCTTACAATCGAGGTTTCCTTCCTTCAGTTCAGCAAGGCTTGGCTGAATACGATGGCTGTTCAGAGGGCTGTGGAACCAATTATAAGGTTCCACGCGGTTCCACGCCAGTAATAAAATACATAGGACCCGCACTTTTCACAGTGGGGCCCATGAATTTATTACTGGCATGGAACTTCATCATTGGCTCTACCGCCTGTTAAACGGAAAAACTTTTGTTGTTCCCATGCTTAAGGATGCAAACAGATAAGATTGGATTCGAGTCAGGGTATATTCGTATTCGATCCAACATTGTTCATGGCCGATCGAATCCGATTGGACCTGATAGGCCTTGATCTGAATTCAAATCCTATCGATAAGTTGGATCTTCGGATGTGATCTGATCCGACTTGCTTTCTTTAAAAATTAATAAAGTATTAAAAGAAAAATAAAATATATCAATTTAAATAAAAAACAAAAAATACAAATATTTTTAATTATTTTAATCATATATGTACATGTTTGTATAAAAAAATGAATAATATAACAAATTTATAAAAATATAATATAAATAAATAAATAACATATACATATATTTAATATATATTTATATAAATAAATATATAGCATATATCGAATGGGATAGGGGTAATCCGAATCCGATCTGAGATCCGACCAGGAATGATCCAAATTCGACCAAATTTGCATGCTACCTATGTATAGTATACAATAACCCAAATGAGAAAATGAAATAATTTACGGTAACAAATAAGACCATGCCAACATTTTCCGTTTGAGAGGAAAAAGAAAAAAAAGAAAACCTAAAACCAAATCACATTATGGCCGGCAAAATAGGCCCACGAAAACAAAATTGTTGGCCGATGAACTAAATACTTCCATCAATTATTATCCAAATCTATCCCATCCCTAATCTAAACTAATCCATGTTTATCCATATAATATCACAGTCATATATGGAGAATATCTTATCCTCCTATATAGTATTATGCAGGGAGAGATGTTCTCAATTCACAGAGATAGTGTGTGCGAATAGACATAGACAAAGTTCTCATGAGTAATAGATCCCGCATCATAGTAAGCCAATCAAAATTTGGAAAAAAAAAATATATGTTTCTCTTGATTCTTGAATTTGGCTTGGTTCACTCAAGTAAAAGCGAAGTTATTAGTCGGGTCTAATTCCCAACTTTCTCGGTTCAACCAATACCCATGCCTAAAGTTGGCAGAATTTGAAACTATAGGTACATGGGAACTTAGTTCCTCACTTGAATTTAACCATGTGATAATTACTTATTTCCAAATTTTCATATCTTAATTGATAGAACCATCCTAACCATGTGATAATGTTTTATTTTAAAATACCAACTTGGAATTTGAATCGCTTTGGCCGCTGGTATTTGGATTAGCAGTTCAATTTGTCTAGTTCGAATGAATTAGCTTATGAGATCTTTAAAAATAAAAAATACAAAAATAATTAAAATATTTTTTTTTCAAAAACTGTTGTTTGGGTTGAATGAGTCAATGGTTCAACACTTCAACCAACTAGATCAACGGCTTGCTAACTATTCAACAGTTTTTGAAAAAAATAAGGTTTGGGGTTAAATAAAACCAATACCATGGCTGGTTTTTGGGCCCAACAATTCAACCATCTGGGTCAACAATGGTTTTAAAACCATGACCCAGACCCCACACCATAAATTGCTATTATTTTTTATTAGGGAAATTTGTAGTTTAATCCATGGTTTTGAAAAATTGGATTGGATCGGATCAGATAGTCAAACCGCTTGACCTGAGAGCCGATCAGGCAATTGATGCCATTGCTTCAAAGATGTTTTATGAGAAAACGATGATTTATGCATGAGGGTCTGTTGCATAATTTTCTCAGAAAACGGCTCCTTTTTTTGTTTGGCATCAATGCTGCCACATAGGTTTTTTTTTGGTAAAACAGCACTGATTTTGTTTGGTACCAATGCTATATAACCGTTTTCAGCATTGGTCTACATTATCCAATGCCCAAGATGATGCTATGTCATTGCACCATTGGCAGCAATAGGTTGTTTTCTGAGAGAACATTGAATTTGACATTTCTTCATACAACACTTTCCCGATTTCTAAAGCGTGGTTTGGAGAAACGTTTTTTTTTTTTTTTTGAAAAAAGAAAGATACCAAATAAGAAGTCATTTTTTGAAGCATCACTCTTTTTTTTTTTTTTCTGACGTATGGCGCCAAACACCACCTTCATTTCAAGGTTTTAAAAGGCTATAAAGGTGGAGGTGAGGCATAAGCCTTGAGGCGTAAGTCTCAAATTAAAAACTTAAAAACTATGAAAAACTAATTAATTGAAGTTTTATATAATTATTTATCCTTTAATGTATCAATGGATTAACAATTGCTGATTGTTCAAATCTTTTCAAGATAACTTGTATGAACTATGAATTAGATCTTTTCAAGATTGTTTAATGATTGCTTATTGTTAAAATCTTTTCAAAAGTTTTAGACAAATCTTGAAATGAATTAGATTCATTTCCATGGCTATCATGATAAAATTTCATTGACAATTGTGATAAGAGTTGTTCATGGAAGATGACAAAATGGATCCAAATTCAATATATATTATGATTTTATGATAACATGGCAACATGTATTCA